TGTGCTTCCCGAGGCCCTGGGCCGTAAATGGAGTGTGCCAGGCGCCTCCTGGGCACCACTTCAGTCTGCTTGACCCCAGTTCTTATTCTGGCCACCGCTGAGGTGATGAGTGTTCTGTGGGCCTCATGCAGGTGCCACCTCACCTTGGGCACATGGGGCCCACCCCTACCTTCCTGCCTCAGTCTCTCTGACCCACAGGGCAGATGCTCTTGGGAATCCCCTGGACCCTCATGCATGCACAGACACAAGTTCAGAGGAGTTCATGTCTGTGCGGCCACTCTTGATCAATGAGTGACTCAAGCAAATATTCACTGTGTCTTTTTTTTTCTTTTTGAGATGGAGTTTTGCTCTTGTTGCCCAGGCTGTAGTGCAAAGGCGTGATCGTGGCTCACCATAACCTCCACCTCCCTGGTTGAAGCGATTCTCCTGCCTCAGCCTCCTGAGTAGCTGGGATTACAGGCATGCACCTGCAAATTTTGTATTTTTAGTAGAGACAGGGTTTCTCCATGCTGGCCAGGCTGCTCTTGAACTCCCGACCTCAGGTGATCCGACTGCCTCAGCCTCCCAAAGTGCTGGGATTACAGGTGTGAGCCACCATGTGTGGCCTCAATGTGTCTTTTTTTATCTCCCATTTCATGAGACTCCTCGGAGGATCCTATGGGAATCAAGCACCTATCGGGGTCCCCTTGATAACATGACCTCGTCCTGGGCTTGCCTTTTTCTTTGCTTCTCTCTCTAGCCCTCACCCCTGCTCCCTGGGATTATTTCCCTGATTAATTACACAAAAACCTTTGTCTGACACTCTACTTTAGGGGAACTAAAAGGAGAAAAGAGGAGAAAAGACCTAAGGTCTGGTCCTGGGAAGTAGGTTATCAAAGATCTTTTCCTCTCCCAAATTTGGGACTTCTCAAAAGCCAATTCCCCAGGGGAGAAATGGGGAAAAAACAACTCAGCCACAGAAGACTTTGCTGTAGCCACTTAGCTGTGCTGGAGAGGCAACACAGGCTGAAAAAGAAATTCAGTAAAATGCATAACAAGCTAATATTCACATAGAGGAAAACCCAAAATCATATTTCCTACATGATTGGAAAAACACTAGGCCGAAAGCAATTTTTAAGTGGATCTGAGTTGGATGTATCCCTAGGCTCCTGGCAAAGGCAAACAAAAATCCTTTCTGGAAGAATATATTTTAAACACAGATTCAAAGACTTCCCACAAAGAATTTCAAGGAACATAAGCTCATAATTAAACATCAATAAACTCATAAGGAAACAAACCACAAGGAGCATGAGTCAGCAGAAACAACGAATAACAAGATGAGACCCACAAATACTGCATAAAATAGAATGATGAGATGCAGGATAGAAAATAAGCATTTTAGGTCCAGTGCTCGCCTGTAATCCCAGCACGTAGGGAGGTCTGGACAAGAGGATCATGTGAGCCCAGGAGTTCGAGACCAGCCTGGGCAATATAGTGAGACCCCATGTGTCTTTCTAAAAAAAATACACACACACACACACACACACACACAGACAGAAAAAAAAAATTTTAAGGGCCAGGCATGGTGGTTTACGTCTGTAATCCCAGCACTTTGGGGGGCTGTGGCAGGTGGATCACCAGGTCAGGAGTTTGAGACCAGTCTGGCCAACATAGTGAAACACTGTCTCTACTAAAAATACAAAAAAAAAATAGCTTGGTGTGGTGGTATGTGCCTGTAATCCCAGCTACTCGGGAGGCTGAGGCAGGAGAATCAGGATGCGGAGGTTGCAGTGAGCCAAGACTGTGCCATTGCACTGCAGCCTGGGTGACAGTGTGAAATTCCATCTCAAAAAAAAAAAGAAAAGAAAAGAAAAGAAAAAGTATTTTAATATGTTTAAAGAAGTATAAAATGGACTGGGTGCAGTGGCTCACAGCTGTAATACCAGCACTTTGGGAAGCTGAGAGGGGTGGATCACTTGAGGTCAGAGGTTTGAGACCAGCCCGGCCAACAAGGCGAAACTCTGCCTCTACCAAAAATACAAAAATTAGCCGGGCATGGTGGCAGGTGCCTGTAATTCCAGCTACTTGGGAGGTCGAGTCATAAGAATCACTTGAAGCTGGGAGGCAGAGGTTGCAGTGAGCCGAGAGGAGAAAGAGTGTAAGTGAACCTCCTCTGTCACAACAGGAAGTCAAGAGACAGCATCTAAATCCAGGAAAATCAGAGATCCATAGAGGAAAGAGAAGAAATGACGTTGCAGGATGTTGGCAAAGGGAAGCCCCAGGGTGACGAACAGGCTGCTGATCTGGAGAGAGCTTCTGGCTCAGATGGAGGCAGGAGAACCGAGGGCTCCGGAAAGGGTGTCTCAAGGAAACAAAATTAAGGAACTGGAACTGAGAGTGAAAATGAGTATTGAGAATCCTCTTAGTAGGCTTTTGCAGAAGATTTAATCACGGGTCGAAGAAAATAAACAAATGAGAAAATTAGAGGATGATTATTAACTCTGTGGGGGAAAGGAGGTTGAAAAAGATAGTATATTAGTTGGCTCAGTCATAAATACCTTCTCGTGACTGTGAATGTAACCGAGAGTTGTGGTATTATGCTATTGAAAGAAGAGGAGAAAGAGTGGAAATGACCCTCCTCTGTCACAATAGGAAGCCAAGAGACAGCATCTAAATTGGACCTCTCAGGAGATAACCGGAATTGAAATCAATGCTTTATTTAGGAAGTAAAAACCAGAAGATGGCCAGGCGTGGTGGCTCATGCCGGTAATCCTAGCACTTTGGGAGGCCGAGGTGGGCGGACCACCTGAGGTTAGGAGTTCAAGACCAGCCTGGCCATCATGTCAAAACCCCATCTTAAAAAATAAAATAAAATAAAAAAGAAAAAACCAGAAGAAACAACAGAATGAATTGAAATGGCTGCTTTTGGCGGGCAGGCTGACATGCAGTAAAAAGCATGCTTTTTTTATTGTACTCCTTTAGCATTTTTTGACTGTGTAAACACTCTGTACACATTATTTTGGGAAACAAACACTGACCTGAAGACCTATGAGAAGAAGCTATGACAATAAAGCTGTTTCCTTTTGAGGTGTTCCTGTCTCGAGCAATTCTCCTTTGGAAATTGAGCGAACAACCCCTCCTCATTTTTTCTGTTGTCTCGCTCTTATAAGTAATCTTGGGAGTCAGGTATTGATAACGGTTCCTGGCGCTTTGTGAAATATTAACTTATATGTCGGTTATATGATTGTTATCAGGCAGGACAGAAGGAAAAATTCCCATTTTAAAACATTTTATTATTACTATTTTTCAGAGACAAGGTTGCACTCTGTCACCCAGGATGGAGCTCAGTAGCTCACTCATAGCTCACTGCAACCTTGGATTCCTGGGCTCAGGCCATCCTCTCGCCTCAGCAATTCAAGTAGCTGGGACTATAGGCGCACACCAGCATACCCAACTAATTTTAACATTTTTTGTAGAGGCAGGGTTTCTCTGTGTGGCCCAGGGTGGTTTAAACTCCTGGGTTCAACCTGTCCTCCCGCCTCAGCCTCCCAAAGTGCTGGATTAGTGGCATAACTAATATTCCCATTTTACACACATGACAGCATAGACCTCAATAGGGAAAGTAACTCTCCAAAAGCACACAGCCAGTCAGTGGCAGAGCTGGAGTCCTGACTCCCTGGCCTGTTTCCACACAGCTGGTCTCAGGCCCAGGGGCCTCTTGGCCTTCGTGCTTCCACTTCTCCCCTCTCCCCCAGCTGACCCCACCTTGTCTTCAGATACTTTCCACAATGCCCCTGGCTCAGAGCCCCACCCGGAAGGGATCCTTAATATGAGCTATAGGCCAAGCCCATGATCTGGTCACAGACTAAGCTCTCATCCTGATCACTCACTAAGCCCTGATCCTGCCACAGAATGAGTCTTGGTCCCGGTCCTAGATAAAGCACTGAATCTGGTCACAGACTGAGTCCTAATGTGGCCACAGACTGAGCCCCAATCCCTTGCCACGAGCTCCCTTAATAATATATACAATTAAACACAAGTCAGGACTGGCGCAGAAGACATGGACGGCTGGGACCGTCCCTCTCCAGTGCCACAGAAATCCTGTCTCAAGGACACAGGTGGTGTGGCTGTGGCCTGGCTAGCTTGCTCTGGCGTAGTTTCTCTCCCTCCTGGACCAGAATTTACCCCACAGCTTGTGCCCATTCATTTCTGTCGCCTCCCACTGCCTTCCTTGTGTAGCTGGGGATTTGTGCAGCCCATGGTAATATGCACAGAGCGGGGGTCGTCTGAGATGAGTCATTCTTGCTCAGAATGAAACAGTCCAGCATGGACAGCACTTGTCCTGGCTACAGAACTCACTGTTCCCCACCCTAGACCCTTCCCCCCAGCCCTTGCCAGGCCAGCATTCTCCAATATGATTACTAGGAGCTCCCAGAATACTGGCTTGTTACAGCTGCTGCCCTGCTCTTAGTGACCAGCATCTCCTTCGAGCAGTCAGGTGTGTCAGGTGGGAATTAGGGCCAGCTTCTGACCACTCTCGGCTCTTGTCAGCCCAGGAGAGGTGGAAGGTTAAGGGAAAGGCAGCAGAAGGCGCTGGAGCTGGGCAACTTGGAGGGGAGAAAGCAAGGAGGCAGAAGGGGCAGGTGTCAGTGTGTCACTGAGCCATAAAATATCAGGGCAGGCCGGGCGCAGTGGCTCACACCTGTAATCCCAGCACTTTGGGAGGCCGAGGCCGGCGGATCACAAGGTCAAGAGATAGATCCTGGCCAACATGATGAAACCCCATCTCCACTAAAAAATACAAAAATTAGCTGGGCGCGTGCCTGTCGTCCCAGCTACTTGGGAGGCTGAGGTAGGATAATCACTTGAACCCGGGAGGCGGAGGTTGCAGTGAGCTGAGATCACGCCACTGCCACTCCAGCCTGGCAGCAGAGTGTGACTCCATCTCAAAAAAAAAAAAAAAAAAAATGTCAGGGCAGGCAGGAAGAAGAAGGACTGGCCCTTCTGCTTTCCCTTTCTAGCTAGATGGAGAACTGAGGCCCAAGATCCTACAGTGACTTCGGAGAAGATCGGGGCCTCACGTGTGGATTCCTGATACCAAAGAACATCAGACCCCATAGAAGCCAGAGGAGGACTGTAAGGGAAGGAAGACCTTCCTAATTATCGAAGTTGCCCAGCCCAGGGACCTCTGGTTCCCCATTGCCAGAGGACTGCAGCCAACACAGTCATAGTATGTGGTGCAGCCCAACCCCCCAGGGGTGGAGGTGGGTTTCTCTTGGCCACGTTCCCTTTTCTGGGTTTGGAACCCATATGTGTTCCCCATATGGGATCTTGGGGTTCCAGAAGGGCCTGTTCTCCCTTCCACACCCCCCAGATCCAGCACAGTTCCTCTGGACAGCTCCAGGGCTCAGAGGTAAATTGGGAGAGGGTCCAGCCAAGTGGGGGCTGCTTATCGCAGCAGACTGGCTCTGAGAAAATAATCATAGGCAGGTGGGGACCCCACTCTTCTCCAAGCCAAGGCAGGGGGCTGTGGTTTTCAGGCACTTGGGCCCTTGCCTTGGCGCTGTGCCCCAGGGCTGAACTCCGAGGCCCACACACCCCACAAAACCAAAGCCGGCTTTCTGGGCCCCATTGGCTGTGTCTCCCTGAACCTATTCTCTCCCTACCCTGGTTGTTTACATGCCTCTGTGCCACGAGGCTGGTCGCTCTGTGAAAGCTGAGTGTTGCAGGCTGGGTACCTTGGGAAGTGGATTTGGACTTGGAGTTAGTGTGAGGATGTCTACTGGGGAGAGCTGTTGCAGGCAGTGCCTGGAGAAGGGAGGGCAAAGAGGCCAAACTGGGCAGAGGGAGAAGTCGAGCTGCGACAGGCCCAACCCCAGCCTCAGCTGCCTCACTGGGAGCTTCGAATGACCTGTCACTGCCCCCACTGGGCTTAAATAGCCGCGCCTGAATTAATGCCCAGCTGGATCAGTCCTTGAATATGAGGCTGTCCAGAGAAAGGCATTACCTAGGAGGAGGCAAATCTCTGCAGCTGGCAATCCCTGGAGAGCTCAGCGCCCACAACCCTCTCGCCGCCAGGGGCAAGTCCTTCTTGAGGCACATCTGGACATTGTGTCTCTGTGCCTGCTATTCTGGGTTTCAGTGGGCTTTTTTCTTTTTTTCTTTGAGACAGACTCAGTCTGTCACCCTGGTTGGAGTGCAGTGGTTTGATCTCGGCTCACTGCAACCTCCACCTCCCAGGTTCAAGCAATTCTCCTGCCTCAGCCTCCTGAGTAGCTGGGATTACAAGCACTTTCACCACGCCCAGCTAAAACCATGTTGGTCAGGTTGGTTTTGAACTCCTGACCTTATGATCCACCTCCCTCAGCCTCCCAAAGTGCTGAGATTACAAGTGTGAGCCACCGCACCCGGCCTTTTTAGTGGTCTTTTGAGAAACACTTGGTAGATAAATGAATGCATTAATGAAATAAGCCCCTCTCACACGTTGGTCTCACTTTCCTCATCTATTGAATGGGGATAATATTTTCCATGCTGATGCTGTGAGGGCCAAACTTGTTATAAATGCCAAGTGCCATGGGCCTATGAGGCCTCCCTGCTCTTTTTCCGTTGAGGCCCCTGAGGTTAGGGGAGGACACGGAGGGGTGGGGTGGGCTTGGCAGTTCGTGGTTGCTGCTTCAGGGAAAACCACAGCTGCCTCTGCTGGGGCAGTCAGTGAGGTCCAGGAGAGGGGAAGATCACATGCAAGATGGGCCGTGGGCACTGTGTCACTACCCAGAGGAAAACCACGGCCTCAGGAGCCCAACGCCAAAGGACAGGTGGCAGGTGAGTTGAGCCAAGAGCTAAGCAGACAGGATCAGGTATCCGGACAGCCACCTCACCTCAAGGCCCAGCCCTGTCCCATCTTGCAGGGGCAGCACCTGCTGTATGCTACTGGAGGGGCTGGCTCAGTGGCAGATCTCTCAGCCCAGGACAGAGCAAGAGCTGAGTGACCCTGGGCCAACACCATCCCCCTCTGGCTCTCCGCTAACACTGGGAAAATAGGGACAATTCTTGGGTTTGACAATATTCATGGCTGGGTGTGGTGGCTCACGCCCGTAATCCAAGCACTTTTTAGGCCAAGGCGGGTGGATCACCTGAGGTCGGGAGTTCAAGACCAGCCTGACCAACATGGTGAAACCCCATCTTAAAAAGAAAACATTCATCTATGATATCATCATCTGAAGGTTCGATGCTTTCACCGTCATCATTACAGCCTGGAGTGCTGCTGTTTGTCACGTTGCGTTCATCTGCTGATTCCTCTAATAGCTGTGAAATGTCTTTGTCAGTTTCCTTCTCTTTGCTCTTTGTAGGAAAACGAACAATTCTGAATTAACTATGTGCAATGAAAGCTAAAACAAAAATATTCAAAGATGATATCTCCAGCGTATAATTCTTACACTTTCTTGAAAGATGGCCTAGTGCTTTGGAGAAGGCAATAAGAAAACTGAAAATTGGTGGACTAGCAATGACTCATGTCACTATTGAGTCATTTCTCTCAGGCAATTTCATCATTCTTCTGTTTTCTTACTAGTTTAGTCTTTTTTTTCAAAGCATGGTTGGGAATAGTTGATGAGTAATGATGAAATAGTTCCTGAGAGAATACAATAGCAAAATGGTTTTTTTCGTTGTTGTTGTTGTTGTTGTTTTTGGAGATGGAGTCTCGCTCTGTAGCCCAGGCTGGAGTGCAGTGGCGCCATCTTGGTTCACTGCAACCTCTGCCTCCTGGGTCCTGGTTCAAGCAATTCTCCTGCCTCAGCCTCTCGAGTAGCTGGGATTACAGGCACGCCCAACCATGCCCAGCTAATTTTTGTATTTTTAGTAGAGATGGCATTTCACCTCATTGGCCAGGCTGATCTTGAACTCCTGACCTTGTGATCCACCCACCTCAGCCTCCCAGAGTGCTGGGATTACAGGTGTGAGCCATTGTGCCCGGCCACAAAATGTTTTATGATATAGGAAAAATAAGATTATGAAGATCCCATGATATATTTTAGATTTACAAATGATCCAGTAGATCCATATGATAATTACAAAATAAAATAAGCTTCTTTTTTTTTTTTTTTTTTTTAAGGTAGGGTCTCCTCTATCATCTAGACTTGTGTGCAACGGCTCACTGCAACTTCTGCCTCCCAGGCTTAGTAATCCTCCCACCTCAGCCTCTCAAGTAGCTGGCAGGACAGGGGTGCACCGCCACACCCAACTAATTTTTGTATTTAGGGTTTCACCATGTTGCCTAGGCCGGTCTCGAACTCCTGGCTCAAGCAATCTGCCCTACTCGGCCTCTGAAAGTTCAGGAATTACAGGCATGAGCCACCACACCCAGCCCTTCATTCTTTTTTATTTAAAAAAAAAAAAGTGGCTGGGTGTGATGGCTCACCTGGGAGGCAGAGGCGGATGGATTACCTGAGGTTAGGAGTTTGAGACCAGCCTGCCAACATGGTGAAATCCCATCTCTATTAAAAATAAAAAATAAAAAAATTAGCTGGATGTGGTGGCAGGCACTTGTAATCCCAGCTACTCAGGAGGCTGAGATAGGAGCATTGCTTGAACCCGGGAGGTGGAGGTCTCAGTGATCTGAGATCGTGCCATTGCATTCCAGCCTGGGCAACAAGAGGAAAACTCCATCTCAAAAAAAAAAAACAAAACGAAAAACTAAAAGTTCTCTTTTGTTTCTGGGAGACCTCTGTGAACAAATAAAACTCATAAAATAATCTTCATAAATCATTTGAACTGCTCAATAAAGAAACTTCAACCAGGCACGATGGGTCATGCCTGTAATCCCAGCACTTTGGGAGGTTGAGGCAGGCAGATCACTGAGCTCAAGAGTTCAAGACCAGCCTGAGCAACACGGCAAAACCCCCCTCTCCTAAAAATAAAAATACAAAAATTAGCAGCATGCACCTGTTGTCCCAGTTACTTGGGAGGCTGAGGCAGGAGGATGGCTTGAACCTGGGAGGTGGAGGTTGCAGTGAGCTGAGATCATGTCATTGCATTCCAGCTGGGAAACAGAGACCCTGCCTCAAAAAAAGAGAGAGAGAGAGAGAAAGAGGCTGGGCACTGTGGCTCATGCCTGCAATCCTAGCACTTTGGGAGGCCGAGATGGGTGGATCACCTGAGGTCAGGAGTTCAAGACCAGCCTCACCATCATGGTGAAACCCCATCTTTAAAAAAAAAAGAAAAAAAATAGAAAGAAAGAAACTTAAAAATTAAAATTGAATTTGGGTCTAATAGTGGCCGAGCATGGAGACTCACACCTGTAATCCCAGCATTTTGGGAGGCCCAGGCAGGTGGATCATGAGGTCAGGAGATCGAGACCATCCTGACCAAAATGGTGAAACCCTGTCTCTACCAAAGAATACAAAAATTAGCCAGGCATGGTGGTGTACAGCTGTAGTCCCAGCTACTCAGGAGACTGAGGCAAGAGAATCGCTTGAACCCAGGAGGGTTCAGTGAAGCTGCAGTGAGCCAAGATCGCACCATTGCACTTCAGAGCAAGACTCTGTCTCAAAAAAAAATTGTGTCTAATGGACCCTGAAGGTATATTGAGAGTTAAAATAAAATTCCCCAAGGAGGACTTAGTTGAAGGTCCACCTCTCCCTGTGCCCAAGGAGGGAGGAAACGGTAGAGACTGTGACATTAAATGAGACCCCACCCAAATGTCAAATTAAAAGCAAGAAATGCAGATAAGTGCAAATGAGGATGATATTGAGGACCCTGGTACCCCTGGCAAACATAGAATATGGCTCCTTTGGGTGATGGGTAGTTCCAAGACAGCTACCCATCCTTCTTCCGGGTCTCCCCTGCAGCCCCTCTGGCTGGAAGACCCAGGCCTGAAGGCTGCTTTTGCCTCTTTACTCCCTTTCCCAGCACTGACAGAATTCTCCTATTGTTCTCCTATTGCCCACTGGAGCCCTGAGACTTGGCACACCATCCATTCTGCTCTCATTGCTGCAAGCAAGGGGCCTTTGGCCACTCACAAAGTCCTTGTGAATCATCCTAGAGCAGTGTTAGCCTCGGGCCCTGCACTGCTGGGCGCTGGGAGCCCTGAGGGCTGTTTCCCACACAGGTTTTTTTTTTTTTTTTTTTTTTGAGACAGAGTCTCGCTCTGTCGCCCAGGCTGGAGTGTTGTGGTGCAATCTCAGGTCACTGCAACCTCCACTTCCCGGGTTCGAGCGA